CTATGATAGGTTGTAATCTAGGGGGTTTTTCTTAGGATGTACTCTATGTTTCTATTAATAAAATTTGGGCACTCTTTTCCTCATTCCAATGCTCGTTAAGATACCTTGTATCTTAACAGTTATGAAGGGGATTTTTAACGAGACCTCTTCTTATCAAAAAAATAATAATTATGTGCCTAAATAAGCTTCAAAACAAGAGAAAATTGAATTATGACTTGTTAGAGTTTGTGTTTAGACAAATTATCTGATTATCAAGTATCTAATTTGAATATAAAATAAATTAAGATACCTTGTATCTTACAGTTTGAAGGGGATTTTTAACGAGACCTCTTCTTATCAAAAAAAATAATATTGCCTAAATAAGCTTCAAAACAGAGAAAATTGAATTATGACTTGTTAGAGTTTGTGTTTAGACAAATTATCTGATTATCAAGTATCTAATTTGAATATAAAATAAAATTAAGAAATCAACTAATTTGAAGTAATTATATATAAATTAAAAAAAACTAAAATAGAGTAATACATATAAAATATTATTATTTTAACAAAAGGGATCATAAACAATGAGGGGAAATGATTTATTTTAGGGTAAAGTATATAAATGGTCTTCGATTATAGGGTGTTGCTTTGTTGAGTCTCTTTACTATTAAAAGTTATAAAATGATTCTTTGATTATAGGACATTGTTTTGTTGAGTCCCCAGACTATTAAAAGTTATGAAATGGTCACCCAACTATTCATATGTTTTAAACTTGTCCTTTAAAATTGACGATCATTTAAACTGAACGTTAACCTATTGACCGAGATATGATAAAATCATATTTTAATGATGTTTGTCGACACTGTCGTTACTCTCAAGCACTGGCACGATAACATAATGTTTCAAGTATTGGCTTGATAACATAATATAAATAAAGACTCAGTCTAAAAAATACAACTTAAACAGTTATATGATAAAATTGTATCATATCTCAGTGAGCATATTAACATCCATTTCAGACGGTCACTAATATTTTGAACGAAAAAGGAAGAGTTTGGAATATATAAATAGTCAAGTGATTATTTTGTAACTTTTGATAGTCAAGGGACTCAACAAAGTATCACTTTATAGTCGAGGGACCATTTTATAACTTTCAATAGCTGGGGACTCAACAAAGTAACACCCTATAATCGGAGGACTATTTGTATATTATACCATTTATTTTAATGGTATTACTATTTATATTATTTGTATTGCACGAATAAGATTTAAGTAAGAAAACCAAAAGGAGGATAACGTTTGAGGCAATGCATATAGAGAAGTTGAATAATATATATATAGTAATTTTAAGGCTTAAACTAAAAATAAATGTTTAAATTATATTTCCTCTGTTTTATTAATTTCATCTTATGTTGATAAAGTATATAGTTTTAGGAGATAAATTCAATAGAATTAACGGAGGAGTACATGTTTTTACTTTAAATTTTTAATTTATTTTTTTGTCAAAATAAATCTTTAAACTATTATATATAACCACTTTAATTATTAAAATTATTTTTTTGTGTTCAAAATGACTCTCCAAATTCTGATTTTTTTAAGTTCTTAATTTTTTTTTATCAAAATAAATATATAATTCGGTGTAATATGTTAACATCTCATTGGTTGGAAAAAAGATTTTAATCGAGAAATATCAAAACTTAGAATGATTATATATAATAATTAAAAGATCTATTTTTTAAAAAAACAATTTAAAAATGCAAAGAAAAAAACAAACAAAGTTCAGAAGTACAACACCCAAGCCCACATGTAGAAGCCCAAACTCGACATCAACAGTTAGGATTTTTCACCCTAAGGAAAAGCTACCGCCGCCAACAACAGATCCAGGTTGTCCGATGGCGTGTGTGATGCACGCGTCAGTCCTTTTATCTCCCCGCTGCGTGAGCTTCACCGATCGCCTCTCCAGCCTCGTGAGCTGCTGCCGATAACTCCCACACCGCCATCGCCATCAACATAGGTCAAACAGTGAAAAACATGCAACCAAATAAAAAATGAGATCAAAAACCCATTAAAAATCGAATTAAATATCGAAAAATCAGATATTTCACCTGTTCAAAACTAGGGAAAATCTTTACTCTACAACCGACTGTTATCACCAAAACACCACCATAAATCAAGGGCAACAACCAAAAATCGAGTGGGGCTATTTGGTGGAACAAAAAGGGAGAAACCAGAGAGATTTTTTCGAACAGGAAAAGGGGGATTCGAAAAAAAGGGAGAGGAAGATTAGAACCAAAAAAAGGAAAAAAGATCTCACCTTTAGGATACCCGACAACAGATTTATTCACCGGAGCAACCTTATCCCACCCTCAAAGGAAAATATTTTACATTTAGTGATTTGGTTTACCATTTTCGGGTATGGGTGCTTTTGGGATGGGTTTTAGGGGAAATTATAAGGGATGTTTTAGGAGGTCACTCTAAGTGTTATAAGCCTTGTGGCCACCGATTTGCGGTGGTCGGGCCTCGGGTTTTGTCCCTGACGACGGAAGGGAATAAAGGAGGAGGGAGAGAGCATTTTGTCAAGGTTCTCTTAGTCTAAAGAGTAAAATGGGGAAAATGGAAATGGCTAGTTTTGGCCCTTAAATTTTACCATATATGGGGCTAGCCGAACTACGCCGTTTTGAAGGGGAAGTGCCGCTTGTTTTGAGAGAAAGGGGCTAATAGCATTTTTAGGTCCTTCAACGTTTGTAATGTTCTGTTTTGGGTCATGAATAAAGTTTCGTGTTTTTTTATTTTAGCCTCACTTTTATGTATTGTTATATTTTCGTCCTAACATATGTGTTGATATTTATGACAATATTTTACATTAAGCTTGGAACTTACGAAAGTTTCATTTCAGTCCTTACCTGCTTTGTAATATATGTTTGGTTTACTGTCTATTCTCGTCTATTGATTCATGATTCAGTTCATTTAGGTCCTTGGTTGTGTATTAGTGAATTTATTAATATTTATGACTAGGTTCTTGAGTTTGTTAGACTTATGTTTGAGTCCCTAAGCTTTATTTTAGAGAATAAATATTCAGTTTATACTATAGATCTTAGATTTTAATGCGAGTTCATTTTGGTCATGGTTTTGGTTTTACAAGTGACATTGCATGGGTTTATTACATATTTATGCTTTATTACTTTGTCCTTTTTATATTTAATGTTTATTATTATGTTACATGTAAATATATTCGCTTAATATTCCATAATTCTTGTACGTTTATATATTGATTATCCCTATATATTATATTCACATAAATTAATCTTGTATCGACATGTTGTAGATCTCTCATGTTTGATTAAATATTTTAGTAGTTAATTCGAATACTTTCAAAGTACATCCGTCATAGAATAGACGTGAAAATCACAAACTTTCAAAGATAATTGTTTTCAAAATGGTTATGACAAATGTTTAAAACCATCATATAAACATAGTCTAGAGATATCTGATATACTCTTCAAATATTAATTTGTATTGAAATGCTTTTCATCCCAATATCTTTAACAACTTGTTATTGTTTTTTTTTAAAATAAATTGTGTGCACTTAATACAGCAATAAAATGACATGTTTTCTGCCGGAAATTGAAATAAATAAATAGAAAAAACTTAGTTTGATTTGATAATTTTAGATTTTGTTTTAATCCTACTTAAAATATTGAGTCGGCCGTAACAATATAAAAGAAAACACACAACCACACTCTTAAAAATTAAACTTTGAATTCTTATATTAAACATAAAATAAAAATAAAGCAAATAAAATCCTTGATTTGAATCTCAATAATTTCTATTTAAATAATAATAACCATGATCGTTTTGATATTTTTCTCTCTCCTATATATTGCTAATTTAATGGCATTTTTATAATACATAAATGGTTAAATTTTGTAAAAATCCCTTTTATTATAAGAGTGATTATTCAATCAAGTTGAGTAAAGTGAAAACAATAATTTAATTGGGTTTATGAATATTATTTTATTATTTACTTTTTAAATTTTTTTAATCGAATTTAATATATTTATTTGAGTTTCTATTCCAATTTAGGATTAATATAAAAATAACTGCCCAAACTATATATCTTTTCTCATTTAGGTGTCTAAACTTTATTTTGGTCAATTTAAGTACCTAATATTTTTAATGTTATCATTTAGGTACATACACCATAATAACCGTTAAAAATAAGTCAATCAAATCAAACAATATTTGACATGTAGCTTTATTTTTTATTTTATTTAATTTTTTAAAATAAAATTTATAAACTTTCAAAAAGACCCAAACTTTTCCTATTTGTCATAAAATGTCCCAAGATTTTCAATTTCGATACCGACCACCACCACTGTCAGTGATCATCGACTCACTGATTGGGATGAATGGGTGTTGAAATTTAGGGATTTTGAGGGTTTGACGCCACGATTAACAATTACCTGTGAAGATAGCATCAACGAATGATCGACGGATGAGGTGGATTCTTTAAGATTAAGGATTTTTGTTTTTTTTTTATTTTAGATTTTTATGTTTTTCTAAAATAATTTTATAAAAATTTATAAAGGTGTCACATTTTGAATGGTTAATAGAATTTTTGTAACATTTATTACAGTCGAAATACTAAAATGATAATATTAAAAAATTAGGCATCTAAATTGATAAAAAAAAATACACTTAAAAATGCTATAATTTGGAAAAAAAAATTATATTAAGACTACAATTTAGGCAGCACAAATCAATTGAAATTGACAAAATTAAAGTTAAAGCACACTTAATTGCTGTAGCTATCGAGGTTTTTTTTATTCTACATTTCCTCGGGCTTCTCGCTGTAGTCTGGATTGGAACTCTATTTCCTTTAAATCCAGTCTGTTCCCGGTCTTGTTGACTTAGTTTTTAAGATAAAATTTCAAAGTCAAAATTTATTCTTCAAAAGACGTTTCCATTCCTCCCTTCCATCTCTCGTCTTTCTCTGGTAGTGGTTTCGGGTCTCAGATATCATGGCGTCGCAAGAATACATGGACAAGATGCAGCTCCGCCAGAACTATCGGAATCTCTGGCACTCCGATCTCATGGGCACCATTCAACAAGATACCCCTTGTAATTATTCTCTTGGTTTTTATTTTTTAAAGTTTAATTGATTAGTTTTAAATCGTTTTTTCTTTTTTTGGCAGATTGTTGCTTGGCTTTTTGGTGGTAAGTGATTCTTAATCTTTTATTTATTTATTTTGTTGTTGTAGATCTGATTCTGAGTTCTGACTATCCTGAATTTCGCATTTTTGATTTTGTGTTTTTTTTAGTTAGTCTTAATAAGATTATAAGGGTTCTTTTCATTAGTTATGGTTTTGGGTTTAAAATTTGAGACGTTGGTGACTGGAGTGACCTAGGGTTGACTGAGTCTGCCTGATTTTCATGTTTCTGTTCTAAATTGGATCCTAAAACTTTTTTCTCACATCGTCTTTCTCATATACTCACCTCTTTTTATGATGTTTACCTGCTAATTGATGTGAAGTGTTGTACTTAAGTTGATGACTTTTCTCCTTGACGTTTTAGAACCGTCTGCATTCTAAGAGTAAATTTCTGTCACTGCTACATTGTTGTTTTTGTTTTACTGCAGTGGGCCATGTGTATCTTACATGCTCCGGAAACGAGCGCTTTATAATGACATGTCAAGGTAATTGTTCCATTTGACCCCTCTTTGATTACAAGTTGATGAAATGATATCTTGGCTTAAACATGTCGTTTTGTTTTTGTTGTAGGTATACATGTTGCGCTGGTTATATGCCATGCAGTGGTAGATGTGGAGAACGTAAATGTCCCGAGCTTTGCCTTTTCACTGAGGTAGGATTATGAAGTTTGTCTATATGGTCTCTATTGCTATTTTCTTTTTGTTTTTTCGACTTACATCTTAATTTATAAGCTTGCAAGTTTAATTCTCAACTCCAAGTGTATAAGCTTTCAATTTCGATTCTCAACTCCAACATGAGGAGTAGAGATGGTGAGATTGACCTTCCTATTTGTAAAAGATCTAGCTTTGGGTAAAAAAAAATTTTAGCCGATGTCTACAGGCAAACAGTATGTTGTGCTATGTGGGAAAGGAGAGGGTGGAAAGGTCATTGTATTAATTTAGAAAGCACCGCTGCACGGTGTTAAAATTGTTTATGGAACCTATTTTATGCCAAGTTATCCTAATTGTCGTAAGAGGCAGATAACCTTTTTGTGTGGCTTTCTTTCAAAATATTTTTGGAAGTTGCTGTGGCCTTTGTAGTGATCTTCCATTCATATTTGTTTCTTATTTCCAGGTTTTCCTCTGCTTTGGAAACTCGGTGGCTTCAACCCGATTTCTGTTGCAAGATGAATTCAATATTCAAACAACAAAATGCGACAATTGCATTATTGTAATCTATTCCTTTCTTCATCTAATGTATCTTAATTATATTTGCACTCGTTGGTCATTGAATTAACATATTTCCACTTGATGTTTAGGGTTTCATGTTTTGCCTGCAACAAATTGCTTGCATATTTTCCATTGTTGCAATGATTGTTGGGAGTGGTGAGATTCAAGATGCAGCACAGTTACTGAACTGTTTGGCCGATATGGTTTATTGCACGTTAAGTATTCTGTTCCATTCACCCCACTCATCTCAAGCTAATTTTTCCTAAAGATCATACCCTGACGATTCGGCTTTATTTTCCTTTGCAGGGTCTGTGCATGTATGCAGGTAAGAAGAGTTTTAAAACAAGCAAATGGAGATTTTTGTTATCCTTAGTCTGAACCATTTCTTAAATTGTCTTTGGTTACAGACACAACATAAGATCGAAATGGACAAACGAGATGGCAAGTTCGGTCCGCAACCAATGGCGATACCCCCTGTTCAGCAGATGTCACGCCTTGATCAAGCAATTCCTCCTGCAGTTGGCTACCCCCCAGCAGCATATGGACAACCTTATGGGCCACCTCAAGGGTACCCGCCATCTGCATATCCTCCTGCTCAGTACCCTCCACCTGGTTACCCACCATCTGGTTATTCTAGGTGATCTTTCTCTGGTTTAGGATTTGCTTTCATTCGCCTGAGACTGGGTTACTGAGTCATGGATGGAGCTGGTATTCTTTATGAACTTCAGCTTTGCATGCTGTTGGAGTTTATAAAGTGATAGCTTATATATATATGTTGTGTGATTTGCTTTTCACATTGCTGATTTGAACAGTTAAAAGGTTATGTTGAGACGAGCTTGTTTATCGTCGGTAACTTTTATTTACTTAAATGTTTCTACACTCTCGAGTGTTGTCATTAAATTTATCTTCAAATTTTGGCATATAAACTAATATGGTTAAAAATCCATGTGGACTGGTATTTTCTCAATGGATTACCCACCCCGTATGTGTACTCAAATTATACGACACCTAATTAAAGTTATTTGTACCACAAAACCCAAAGTTTTTGGGTGCCATTTATAACATCTAAAATGGGTGCGCCACCAACACATCTTATGGCCTGTATGGAATGATTTGACAAAGACTTTTATTAGAATTAAAATGGGTGTCGTTTTCCCTTCAAGCTCATATTAGTAATTTGTTTGAATTATTATTTAATAAATAAGAAATTAATTTTATTTTAAAAACATTCGATTTTGAGACGAGTGAAATTTCGCTATTAAGAAATGATCTCACTATTACACTTGCAAATATTTTGTCCAACCAATACATCTAGTGGTTCACTCAAGATGCTACAGTGTCATTATCAGCTTTGAAAATTGGTCTTGGTCTTTTCAAACTTCCCCATATTTGTATGAGTTCCTCGTCGTCGTCTTTTACGAGAATTATTAACTCAATAATTTTAAGTTTGAATTTATTATTCAAATAATAAATATTAAACATTAAACATTAACTTTTAATTAAATTTAGCGCATTATTTTCAATTTTGTGCAATTATATAAATAAAATTCTAATTTTATTTAATTCCGAAAATTATTAAAATCTTTAGTAATTTAACATCATTTTATGTTTACATATTGTATATGTAAATTATTATTATTATTATTATTACTATTACATATTGTAATGTATTTATTTTTAAAAATATATATAATTTTATAAAATTAAAATTATATATAGATAATTAAATCAAGATTATAATTCCATGTATATGGTTGAATCAAAAACAAAATTCATATATCATATTACATATATAAAATTCATATGTAATTTTTATATTTATCCCTTATATTTAACCATGAAATTTTAAAGTTTTATGGATAATTATGATCTTTTTCCAATTTAAATAAGACCGATATGATTTCTTAAACTCCAACATAAGTACTAACATTTAAAAAGTATATTCGAACTAAATTATATGATCGATTACAATTTATCAATTTTTTTTTAAAATTATTATCTCACGTACTAAATTATTAAAAATGAATAGCATAACCAGTTAACCACATGTAAGGCTCTGTTGAAACCCTAGTGATCTGGCAAACTTCTGTCTAAGATTGTCGAGAGAGTTCAACATCCCACCTCGAGCTGAAAACACTTGATATTTCATTCATAATTTAAAAGGGAGTACCCCTCTATGTGGTTGATGACCCAAGCTGCCGAGAAAACAATACAGTCCTACCCTTCAAGCAGCAACCTGATCGAAGAGCCACTTGCGTATCTGCAATAATAGCAAATAAACAAAGTTGGGAGGAGGGAATATAGTAGAAAAGGCATACAGAGAACCATGCAATATGATGCCTCCGCAAGGCGGGTTGGCGGGACGGTCACCCCCGAAAATTTCAAATTCTTATATAATTTAATTTTTTTTTATTGATAATCTATTTTCGACTCCTTACAATTTTATAAGTTCGCCCCTAGTATAAAATCTTGCATCTGTCGCTGTGTGTAATTACGCAAAACAAGGTAAAAACTAAGCTAAATGCATCTATAGAAAACTACCAACGCACCTCTGGAAGCTTTTTATTGAACGCAACATCCAACCGTGCATCCAAGGTGTTCTCATAAACTATCTTTCCATCTCGGGATGCTAGGACAACACCTCCAGAGCTGCAAAACGAGAAAAAAAAAGGTCAGTATCATCAGTTTTCTTTTTCGTTTTTCCAGTAGAGGAAGGCGGAAGGGGTACATCAAGGGGATGTTGCTCGGATCATAAAACTATGTTGCCATTATTTCATACAAATAGTAGAACCATACTAGGGAACAGTTAATTACAACCTCAAGCCAACCACATCACAACCCTCCCCAGTCATAAACTACAAGGAGGAAGGTAGGTCGAAAGAATAATGAGTCCTGCCAAATCATTGTACAACTTGTAACATGTAATCTTGCATTAGTATATACCAGAAAGGACCATGAGCATTGTGGTGAGAAGGTGCAGGGGGAAGATGGACATCGTCGATGAATATCTCCGGTGGATCAACATTAACTTTAGAAGCATATTCCTCTTTTGCTGAATCCAGTACAGACACCACTAAATGCACATCATCTTTGAGACAACGCAGTAAGACAGCAGGTTCTTTCAGTCTGTCATAACCATTTTTCGGTATAACAATTAAATATTATTTAAAAAAATAGTTACGACTTTTAATTTGAAAAATTCGGTGATTTCGAATTAAATTGCATAGAGTCTGAAAAAGAGTCGCCATCGACCTTTGGGTTAGGTAGGTCGAATACCTAAAAACGTCTTCCAAAAACAATTTTAAGAAAAAATATTTTTAAGACGAAAAACTGGTATGCGTTTACAAAGATTCGATGAAAACGGGTTCAGGAGTCGATTACAGTTAAGGAATGATTAACACCCTTGAACTGCCCTTTCGGTACCATTTAATTTGTCGGTTGTCTTAATTACAAAAATTAAAATTTAAATTTAAATATTCAATCATAACTATTTACCTTTTGATCGATTAAAATTATCCTAAAAATATCATGAATAAAGTAAAAAAACAAACAAAGACAAATAGTTAGTATAAAAATAAAATATAAAAGGTAAATAAAAAGGAATGAAAAAATTTAAATTAAAACAAGATTAAATTGGAAAAAAAATTAAAATTCATAGATCAAATTAATTATAAAAATGAGCTGCAAGAGAAAAAATCAAAGACTTAAGGGATTAAATAGCAAAAGGAAAAAAGTAAAATACTAAAATAACACAAATAGAAAATTAAAGGATTAAAACAATATTAATAGAAACTAGAAGGACCTAATAAATATGAACAAATAAGATCATAAATAATCAATTTAAAAAAAATACAGGGGCTTAAATTATAATAAAATCTAATTATATGGATTAAAATGCAATAAAACAAAAGACAGTAACTAAATAAAATTAAATAGTGACTAAATTCGAAGATTATTAAAATCATTATGCATATTCGAAACACATAATAAAATATATGACCAGAGTGCAAAAAGCATTAAAATAACGGAGCTTAAAGGTGATTTTACCCTGATAGGACCAAAGCACAAAACACGCTGAATATGAGGACCTTATACGTGATTTAACAATTAATATATATGAACAAAACATAAAGCTCCTAAAAACTAGTGGCTTGACAAGTGATTTAACCAAAATTCTTTTAAGCTTAATATATTTCCTTTCTTCCTTCTACACGTAAACCAGATCAGTCTTTCATTTATAGTCTTCTGTTTTTTTTTACTTCACCAGCGCGACAGAACAGACATGGCGACCAAATCTCAAGTGAACTCGAGAGTTATACCGATCATTCGACTCTAGAATCGACGACGATGACATCCCTACTCTGACGTACTGCAACAAGGTAACTTAACTCCCTATCTCTATTTTAATTATTTTTTTAAACTCATGGAATTTACGTTAACTACAAACAAAATTACAAACTAAAATTCTTATTATTAGTTGCATTCGAATTGAACAAATAAATTAAAGAAACTAAAATACAAACTGAAATACTTTAAGATTACTAAAAATTTTCTGTATTTTTATTGCCTTTTTTTCCATACATTTTGCTCGGCTTTTATAGCCAAACTTTACATAATTTCAACATAAAAAATTACAAATTGATCATGCGCAAATTTCTGCAGGAAACATGGGATGATGGGAGCAGGTGTGGTGGGTAAGCTGTTTTTCTGACTTTTCATTTTAAAAATTGGTGATTACACAATCTGACCAAACTCTGTAATAAACAGCATAACTTTAAAGATTTGAGTGTAGATAAATATCATTCGATTCAAAAATCTTATCTAATGTTACAATTTGCAATATTTGCAACAACAAAAAAAAGATTACGTGATCTTGACATTCACTGACCTGAACAATGACATCTTTCAAAAGATTTTTGTACACATGGTGATCATTGCTCACATTCAGAAGTTCCTTGGATGCCGATTCTTTCATTTCATTAACCACATCATCTTGAGCCTGAAGGACCTTGATCCTAGATGCATTAAGCTGCATCGAATACTCACTTCAGCAAAAGAATAACGCACACTCTTATTCATAAAAGAATGACTATATATATTATACTAGAAGTGCCAATTCTGCATCAAAACAAACTAAACTAACTTTCCTTTATCTTTTATTATCATCCTGACAATCAAATTTCTTCAATTTTCTAGCTTCACCCCAATCACATCACGGTTTCTGATTCCTAATCAAACTAGTGTGATAAACTATACAGATCCAGTGTGATAAAGCAATTTAACTATACAGACCCAGTATGATAGAGCATTTTAACTGACTAATGAAATTTACTCAAGGAAAAAGTACAAATAAGTAAAATATTTTAGAGAAATCAACTTGCATCTTCTTTCGAACTTCGACTTGCTTCTCCTTCTTCTCGTACTCTTGCATGATCTTCTTGTTCCCTGCCTCCTATGAAGCACGGGGACGGCACTGCTTCCCACGTTTCAGTACCTGATACGTCCCTGACACGGGGACGACATGGGTACGTACTGGGGACGTGCCATGTGACGGGATATGGTTGAACAAACTTGGGGACGTTTCATTGCTTACCCGGAGACATTTCGGGAATGGCATGTGACTATCACATAAATAATTTAGAGATTTTTAGGGTTTAACTTTAGAGTTAGTCCTCAAATATTTTAGGGTTTATGAAACAAGTTACATGCTTTACAATAATTACAATTTGGTCACATAAATATTTTAGAGATTTAGGTCAAAATTCCCAAATCTTAGGGTTTCAAGTTTTCTATGAAGTATTGACTTTATGAATTTTATTTTCTAATATTTACTTATGGATTTTATTTTTTTAATTTTATTTTCAAATTTTATTTTTATTATATGACGTATCTTTGCCATCCCCGTACCCTATAATTTTAAGAATTGCCATTTTTCATCCCCGTATCCGTAAACTGGAGCCCTTTTTTAATGTGTTTGTCGAAACGATTTTTAACGGTTGGAAAAACACGTCATTTTTAATTATTCTCTTTATGTTTGATTTTTAATTAAAAACAATGTGATTTTAGAAAATCTCTCGTTTCGAAAATTTGGAAATTCCTTTACAATAAAAACATATGGTTCGAGGAGTCGCCACCAATCTTTGATTAGGGTGTGATTGGGCACCCAAAAACATTGTCATTTTATAAAAAAATAATTTTAATTAAAACGACAAATTTGCGGTCTACATTACCAAAATCCGGGTTCGGGAGTCGGTTACGCGTGGGGAAGGATTAGCACCCCCACAACGCCCTAAATCGGTACCTCATCAATTAATTAATGTCTTTGCAATGAAATTTACAAGTTCAATATTAATTTGATTTATCCCCAATAAACAAACATACATATTACAACATTCATAAACACCAAAACAGATTAAATTAAAATTACCCAACCATTAGAAAGATACAACCTTTAGAAAAATAAAGAATATTCGATTATTTACAAATATCGAGACCAGATCTTAAATAGTTATAACAACCTTTTCTCGATAAATTTAAATAGCCGAACATTTCTTTATCTTCCGTTCCAAAATTTTAAAGTGATAAATCAATTTTTAGGTGTCACTAATGGGATACATTTTTAATTTAAAATCGTTAGAAACAGACCTCTAATAATTAAGACAGCCCACTTAAAACGAATTTAAATTAAAAGGGTATTACCCTTAATTCAATTATGTCGCATGGTCGAGATATGCACATGAGACTGACATGCATAAAATTTACAACTAAATATGTGTGTATGAACAACATACCCGAAATAATGCATACATTTAAAGTAAGCCTAAATTAACCCTACAAACATGCATAAAATATTAAAGGGACTAAAATATAAAAATAATAAACAACAAACTTTTTTCATAAAAATTCATTTCCATCCAATACAGCCAATGGGATCCAATTAAAAGTTTTGCAAGTCACATATCCAATGTACAAACTGCACGAAAATAAACCTAGCATAATTTGGACTAAAATGAAACGCGCTGAAAACAGAAATGCAAAATTAGAAAGCATGAAATACTCTATTTGTTAACTAAAACGACTAAGCCAAATAAATGTGTGACTACAAAAGAAATAAACCCACAATTACATATAGCAGTAAATCGCAACTTAACAAAATTTTACATCCAATGCAAAAATAAATGAAAATTTGAAATAACATCACCTAAGATCAGAAACTTAAAATGCGGAAACAGGGAGCCAAAAACGAGTTCAAAAGTCCTAGAAGAGGACCAAAATGGAATAGGGCAGAAACTAACGTGATCTCATTTAGTTCAATCTTTACAACACCCTTGCTCTCTTCTCTACAATCACTCCGATAACCACTTCTCATGGCTAAAGTAAACTCAACTCTCATCTCTATTTACTCTTTATTTCGATTCAATAACAATAAATAAAAATGGTTGCATGTTGTTGCGTAAAGAAATCCATAACTTTGTTTATTTTGCTCGTTTCAAAACCAAGAGCTCACACATACATCACACTAAAAATGAGTAAGAAAATTACCTTCAACACTTTCTATTATTCTTGGTAAATCAAGGAATGACCTCTACTACACACTATTTTTCCTTTCGGTACAAGAGACCTCCCTTACAAACTTTTTTTTTTGTTTTCTTAAATGGACACCGTTTTCTTCGTTTTGCTTCCCCCTGCTGTTCATGAACCTCCTTCCTCGAATGTCCCTCTTGTTCGTGAGCCTCCTCTCCAATGTCTAGCCCCTCTCGTTTTATCAATACTTTCTTTACCGAATACTTTGTCTGCATGTTGATTTTCTCTGTGTTTGGTGATATTTGGTTGAGCAAGTATTGACTTTGTGCAGAATATGGACACTTAACAAAACATGGGTGGCCAGCAAATATTAGTGGTGGCCAGCAAATATTAGTGGTGGCAGTATGATAGAGTTAGTGCTCCATTAATAGACTGCTAGTGCAGAAACAACATGGTGTGGGCTGGCGTGAGGTACTGTGCGGCCACATGTGCTGGTGAGTGCTTGTCTCCTAGCTGAAACATGTTTTTCCAACGTGTATATGTCTCCATGTTCATAAAAAATCTGTTCCCAACGTGTATATTGTGCAAAGTAAAAACAATTTTTTTGTTGAAATTCGTAAATCCCGTATTCAGCTTGCACAGTCTTTATCTCTCTGAGAGTATCTCGAGCTATCGATATCGGATTGATGCGATTAAAAGTGCGTTGGAAAGCTAAGAGATAATGGAATAATGTTAAGACTTCAACATCCAAATATGTTTGGAACATGTTCAAAATTGGCGATACATCTGAATGTCGTGATCTGCCCACTGGACAATTTCCAGCCTGCACTGTCTTCATTAATTTAACCATATCTCGAGCTCCAAATATCGGATTGATGCGGTTCAAAGTACGTTGGAAATCTAAGAGATGATTGAATAACTGTTACGAAGACATCAGAAACCGAAGATGCTTAGAACATGTTCAAAATTGGCAATTTCCATGGCTGTCGTGCACTGTTTGTAATTTGGGACCTGAATTGTGCTTGGCGTACCTTGGCCTGCAAAATGATAACATAAACAACTTTAACATTATTAATAATAAAATAATATAATAATAATAATAATAATGATAGTATCCCGGACAAAACGGGTGTCTACAGCTGCCCCTCTTTGTTCATCCTTGTGTTAACAAGGATAGGGCAAAGATAAAAAGACAACGCGTTTTTGTCCAAATTCATCTTCGCTTTGAAACTTGATAAGGGATTTGTCCCATTCCTCCTTCAAGGTAAGTGAGACTTGAAAAATCTTCTGCAAACGGGTTCGCTCTCTTTTTCTTCAGGGAGTATAGAACTCGAACAATCTTCTTTACGGGTTCGCTCTCTATTCTTCAGGGAGTAGAACTCGAACGATAATCTTCTACGAGACTGCCCAATTTTCTTCAGGGACTAGAACTCGAACAATAATCTTCCTACGGGTCTGTCCAATTTTCTTCAGGGAATAGAACTCGAACAATAATCTTCCTACGAGACTGCCCAATTTTCTTCAGGGACTAGAACTCGAACAATAATCTTCCTACGAGACTGTCCAATTTTCTTCAGGGACTAGAACTCGAAAAATAATCTTCCTACAGGTCTGCCCAATTTTCTTCAAGGACTAGAACTCGAACAATAATCTTCCTACGGGTCTGCCCAATTTTCTTCAGGGACTAGAACTCGAACAATAATCTTCCTACGAGACTGCCCAATTTTCTTCAGGGACTAGAACTCGAACAATAATCTTTCTACGAGAATGCCCAATTTTCTTCAGGGACTAGAACTCGAACAATAATCTTCCTACGGGTCTGCCCAATTTTCTTCAGGGACTAGAACTCGAACAATAATCTCCAACGATCGCGTCTGCCCCCTATTTCTTCAGAGAGTATAAGACTCGAACAATCTTCAACAATCGCGTATGCCCCCTATTTATTCAGAGAGTATAAGACTCGAACAATCTTCAACGATCGCGTCTGCCCCCTATTTCTTCAGAGAGTATAAGATCCACAATCTTCATCAATCGCGTCTGCCCCCTATTTCTTCAGAGAGTATAAGACTCGAATAATCTTCAACGATCGCGTCTGCCCCCCTATTTCTTCAGAGAGTATAAGACTCAAACAATCTTCTTTTGCTTCACTACTTTTTTTGAAGGCTTTAGTTTGGTTTGTTTCAAAGGTCGAACCTGAAAATCAAACATTATCAATCATTAATGTATGTTTGAAAATATTATACTCGAACATTCTGAGTTCGAGAAAATTTCTGAAAATTCATCTTCATCGCGAAAACTCGTCAGAAAGCCCTTAGATACATGGATCTATTCTGGCTCAATTGTTGTCACCATTCTTTTTAGGAGTTCAAAACTAGTCATCATCTTGATGCTTCAATATTCAATCTTCCACTATCATTGGGAAACCTGTAGACATTTAAGTCACCATGCAATGTCATGATCCTATTCATGCCTAAAATGTATGAGATTACGCAATTCAACACATTTTTTCTTCGAAGGAACATCATCTTCTTTGATTCTGATGAACCTCGATTTCGTCTTGGGCACCGACATTTGACCAGTTCACCCCAGTTAACAATCTCAATGTCATATCTCTCGGCTTGACGGGACTTTGACTTCTTTCTTTCTTGAAACCCGCCAGTACCCATGACCATCCTGATGAATGACAATCTCTTTGGGTCATATATTAATGGTTGGAATTTTATATGAATCCCATGATTTCTGCTTCCCGCAGCCATACAAACATACATGCTAAAACCAACGTTAGCTTCAGAATACCTTCCTTTTCAACATCTTTTGCCCCAGTAACAATCTCAATGTCATATCTCGGCTTGACGGGACTTTGACTTCTTTCTTTCTTGAAACCCGCCAGTACCCTGACCATCCTGATGAATGACAATCTCTTTGGGTCATATTAATGGTTGGAATTTTATATGAATCCCATGATTTCTGCTTCCCGCCATACAAACATACATGCTAAAACCAACGTTAGCTTCAGAATACCTTCCTTTTCAACATCTTTTGCATACAATACAAATGATCTAATGTACCACAAGCTAAGCTATATTTTTAACTTTTTCAAATCAATGCTTGTAAAGGGGAATTGGAAAGGAAAAAATATCTCTTATTTATAAATGCAAAGATTTTTAGCAACTATATGGCAAACCTTTTAACTGGAAAAAGAACAAAAGGATAGGCATATTCAAATATCAATAACACAAATGCTTTTGAACTGGCACGCCGTTAGAATGACCCGAGCATAGCTTCTGTCAAAAGGAATTCCAAAATTGTGATGACACCTAAGAGTGCAAAGCTACTTCTGAACCCTAAAATCTCCCATTATTGGATGCCGTAAACCAGTATTGAATCTCATGTGCATTCAATTTCTCCTCGGTTGTTTTCATAGAGACTCGTTAATCTTTAGTCTCAATCCTGATCACCAACTATCATGTCACTACTCATGTCATGAGCTCTTTCCACTTCCAAAAATAATTCAGAACCTCCACCATGCACGAATTGAATTTAACTCAAGCCGCCCTCTGCGAGTTTTCAACTTGATCTCATTTGGTTTCAAAATGCCCTTTTCGAGTTTGCATCTTGAACCCCCCTTTTATTTTTTTATTTTTTTCTTCTTCTTTTTTTCTTTTTTTTTTTCTATTTTTTCTATTTTTCTATTTCATTTTTTTTCATTTTTTTCATTTTTTTTCATTTTTTTCATTTTTTCATTTTTCATTTTTTTTTATCTTTAAGCAAAACCCCTCTTAGTTGCGTCGGATTTCACTGGATAAGGTAATTCGGACTCATCCATCTCAATCAAGACTAGAGCTCCCCAAAAAAGGCTTTCTTGACAACATAGGATATTCCCCTTGGGCATTCAATTCCCTCGGAAATCTTTTGGAACGACAATATCCTCCTGAGGTAGGACAATTTTCATCCCATAAACCAAAGAAAAACAATTGCCCAGTTACGTCTGCACTGAAGTCCGATAGACAAACAGAGCAAATGACAACTTCTCGTGCCAATCTTATAAGTTTCAGTCATCTTCTCAATAAGCCTCTTAATGTTCTCATTAGCTGTCTCTACTGCCTCAATCACTCCGGCGATAAGGGGGAATTATGATGCTCTCTTTTGAATTGCTCATAGACAGACTTCATCATCTTGACGTTAAATTCTATGCATTGTCAGAAGTAATCCTCTCTGGTAAGCCATATCCCAGATGATTTCTTCTCAAGAACTTACATCCGTTGACTGGGTAACACTCTCCCATAGGAAGCTTCGTCTACCCACTTGGTGAGGTAATCAATTGCTACCAGAATAAAGCGATGATCATTTGATGCTTTCGGCAAAATAACATCCATGCCCCCACATAGAAAAACGGCCACGGGGCTGTCATCACATGCAACTAATAGAGGTGGTGCATTCTATCTCCGTAATTCCATTAGCATGGGTGCCATATACTCCTTCATGTACTTCAAGAACGGTCTTGGCATCTTCAATGTCCACACACTTTAATAGGATTGATTCGAGTTTTTCTCGTATAGGGTCTCCTCATTGGGTACATATCCCGCTGTCATTCTTGGCCGCCTACTCGGGATAACTTTGATACCTTATATATTGCAAGATACCCTAGTACCAAGGCCTTCTATCTTCTTCTTCTTCTTCTTCTTCAATCTAAAGCATGGGGTGAACACTCATAAGCTTTTATCTCATAGGCATCATATTTGCATGCTCGTTCATCTTAAGGCTGCTGCCAGAGGAGCCAATGCATCTGCCACTTGATTTTCTTCTCTGGGGAGGTATTGAAAGTCACTTCTTCAAATTCTTCATAAGTTCCAAGACTAATTTACGATATTCCACCATTTTAGGATCTTTTGTTTCCCATTCTCTTCTGATGGTAGATTACGAGAGCTGAATCGCCATATACCTTGGGCATTTCACCTTGAGTTCAATAGCAGCTCTAGACCCATGACACAAGCTTCCTACTCGGCCATTTGTTTTACATCAAAATTGAGCCGACTGGTAAAATGATAATGCTCTTCATCTGGTGAGACCAAGATTGCCCCAATTTCATGCCCCAAGGCATTTGAAGCGCCATCAAAGTTCATCTTCCAGTATTTCCTAGTGGATGCAATTGTTTCTTCCATCGAGATAGCCATTAAACATCATCTGGGAAATCAAAATTCAACGGTTCATATTGTTCGGAAGCCCTACTTATAATGAATTCTGCTATGGCACTCCCTTTAACCGTTTTCTGGTTTACAAACTGGATATCAAATTCAGGCAACAGGATTTGCCAATGGCTAATCTTCCATACAATGCAGGTGCCCCCATTAGTGAAAAACGTCGTTTTCTTCATATCTTCAAAGTGCATTTAATTGATTGTAGCTAGGGACCACCCACAATGAGAATAAAGAATTTCCAGCGGTATCATCCATTAAAGTGTCTTTATGTGGCAAAGGAAAATTATCCTTTGGACTCGCTCTGCTGAGATCTCTGTCGCTGATACATTCGAACTTTCTCATCCTCCTTGGCACTGGGACAATATTCGCCACCCACTCAGGATATTTGGCCACTGCGAGAAAACTGACATCAAATTGTTTCTTCACTTCTTTAATTTTGAGCAGCATCTCAGGTCTCATTCTTCTCAGTTTCTGTTGTACGGGCTTACCATTAGGCATCGGTAGTTTATAGACAGTCTTGTATCCAGACCTGGCATATCTTCGTATGACCAAGCAAATACATCTTTAAATTCTTGAAGCAACTCCATCAAGCTATGTCTTCCTTCTAGCAGACAGGTGGTACCAATCTTTACTTCTTTCTTTCCTCATTTGTACCCAGATTCAAGATCTCTGTAAGCTCTTCGTGAGGCAGAATTTGTTTATCTTCCTGTTCCACCATCTTTAGTAATCTTTAAATTCTTGAAGCAACTCCATCAAGCTATGTCTTCCTTCTAGCAGACAGGGTGGTACCAATCTTTACTTCTTTCTTTCTTTTACCCAGATTCAAGATCTCTGTAAGCTCTTCGTGAGGCAGAATTTGTTTATCTTCCTGTTCCACCATCTTTAGTAATTCCAAAGGTAGTTCACATCCCTCATTGTCATCACAACCTTTGACTTCCCCTTGACATATGGGCATCTCGAAATCAATCCGGGTCAGAATCATTAGCTTTGTATCATTGATATCTGAGTTCCTGAAAGAATACCGGAAGAGACTATACATACATATATATATATGGGAGAATCTTTTCCCATAAGTAAGTAGAAAGAAATAATATGTACATATACAACCAAAAATGAAATGCATGGGAGAATGTTTGCCATTTGGACCAATGGAATGCATCCTTTATTAAAAGCAAGTAAAAACACACAGCTTAACCCTTTACATCAGATCACCTATTGCCCAGGGTATGGACAATAGAAAAAAGTTATAGCGCGCTCCTCTGCAAAAGATTTATAAACTACAGGCAGCTTCTCCACAGTCCGATTGTTCAATACAAACTCATCCTTTTCCTTCAGCGATTGCGTTAATTCCAGTTCCTGCATGGTTTGGCAATGGATTTTGGGATATACTTGGTTGTCCACTGTCACCAAATTTGATAACATTCCTCCTTCTCAAAGCTTGGACGACCCTTTGAATGCAGTGCAATTTTCAATAGAATGTCCGGGATTCCCACCATGGTAATCACACTTAACATTAGCATCGTACCATTTGGATAAGGAGGTTGTATGGGTACCACATGATAAGGAGAGACTAGATGTCGATCGTATAAATCACGAAATAACTCCTTATAAGTCATAGGAATTGGATCAAATTGAGGCCTCCCTCTCCTCGGGTCCCTTGCCCCTTGTCTATTGTCATTTTGAGGTGGTGCTACCGTTCCCTGAGATTGGGACATTGTGATGTTATTGGAATCGTACTGGCTCACGTTGGTGACTTCATTTTCCTTTTCCCTCTTTAGCGGCTTGTTGCTGGACTCTCCTCCCTCGAGCTTCCCGCTTTTAATTGCCATTTCGATCATTTCTCCTGTCGTAACTAATCAGAAAAACTTCGGGAAGGATTACCGATAGGTGAGAGAGAAAAGGAGCCTTCAAAGTACTAATGAAAAGCATATTCATTTCCTCCTCTTCTAATGGTGGGTGCACTTGCACTGCTACCTCCCTCCATCTCTGAGCATATTGTCTGAACTTTCACTGTGCTTCTTCTTCATTCCTTGCAACACCAATCTGTTAGGCCTGACATCTTTCACATGTTCATACTGGTCGAGAAAGGATTTAGCAAGGTTTTTCCATGACCTAATATCAGCTCTTTTTAGTTGGTTATACCATCGTAAAGCTGAGCCTGTCAAGCTTTCTTGGAAACAGTGGATCAAAAGCTGATCGTCCCCTATGTACCAGTCATTTTTCTGCAGAACATTGTAATATGGGCAGAAGGCATCTAGTACCGTCGAATTTCTCGAAGTCGAGAGTTTTGAATTTTGGAGGCAGGACCAAATCAGGAACTAAACTAAACTCTTTAGCGTCCAGTCGATACTACTGGTGCCTTCCTTCATAATCTGGACTTCACTTGCTAATTGTTCGAATTGTTCCCGAAATTGTTTGTTTTCATTCTTTTTGGCCTCTTCATCAAGGTCTGGGACTTGGTGACATGGACTTTCTTCGGGGTGCGAACTAGGTTCCGGTTGAAGATTCACAGCAACGCCAACGGGATTGATGTGCACTTTGGTAGGGACAGACATTCCTTGGACATTTTGAGAATGTACTGGGGTAAACCCTGGAGGATAAAGTGGTTCTCCAGTTATTTGCTCAGGGGCCTTTCCATGTTCTGGGTTTCTCCCTTCCGACAAACTTGTCAACTTAGACAGCATCTTCTTGAGCCTTAAGCATG